GGGAAAATGGAACCAGACAGAATAATTCTTACGCACTGAACAGGCTACAAAGACTGACATGCGTATGTATAATGGGTGCCATGCGGACTTGTCCAACAGCATCCATGGAGGTCCTTCTAAAGCTCACACCCTTGCCGATATACATCAGATCCCGTGCGGAAAGGGCAATTCTTCGAATGAAGAAAGGAAATATAACGGATAGCTGGCTTAATAGAAAGAAGTTCGAAAATCTTGATAAGCAGTGTCCGGAAATTTCAATGCCATGGGACACAATGAATTCTAAGTTCAGCTTTACTAAGCTTTTTAGAACTGAAATAAGCAACAAAAGAAACTGGGAGGGCATCAATCAAACCTACCAGCTAACGAAGAGTACAATCGCATGGTTCACTGACGGCTCGCTTACGCACGAATGTGCCGGAGCGGGTACAATCGGACCAGGCAAGAAGCACTGAGTAGCGCTGGGAAAATATACTAGCATCTTCCAAGCGGAAATTTGCGCTATTTTGAAATGCGTACTCATCAATATTGAACGGAATTACCAGGGAAAAAATATTGCAATACTGACAGACAGCCAAGCGGCGATCAAGGCACTGGACTCGCATCAGGTGACCTTAAGACTGGTGTTAGACTGCCTTGATAAGCTAAATGTGCTTGGCGAAACAAATCAAGTGTCGATTCTTTGGATACCGGAACATACTGGAGTACGCGGAAACGAACACGCGGATAAACTAGCCAGGAAAGGGGCAACCACACCGATGATGGGACCGGAACCTTTTTGTGGACTAAGAAATAACACGCTCTTTTCTCTCATAAAAATAAAGGGGAACCAGAATAAAAAGGATAACTGGGATAATATACCAGGATTAAAATAATCCAAATCACTTATTGGTACCTATAACAATAAGAGATACCAGGATTGTATGAATCTATCAAAAGAAAAACTTGGAATCCTAACAGGGCACTGTAGACTGTAACGACCCAATTTTTCCCTGCACAAAAATTAGGGTTACATAATACCACGCTGCCCTAACGTATTTGTGCAAATAATAATTATAACAATGAAAATTGTAAACAGCCAAAAACAATGCTGCACAGAAAGACTTAAAAAAAATATAAGCAGGGGCAAAAATTGTAAACAGCCAAAAACAATGCTGCACAGAAAGACTTAAAAAAATATAAGCAGGGGCAAAAATTGTAAACAGCCAAAAACAATGCTGCACTGAAAGACTTAAAGAAAAAATATAAGCATGGGTAAAAATGGTAAACATGCAAAAACAATGTTTACACATAAAAAAAAATGCAAACTTGGTGATAGCGGAATTTAAAGCGTCACCAAGAACAAATAAAAGGCGATGTTTTTCTGAAATCGCTCTCTTTTTCGGTTTAGTTGTGATCAACGTTGGACGGCTCAGTTTTGGACCTGGCGACGGAGGAAAATTTATGGTAGACAGCAAGTCACTGGTGGGATTCTAGAACGTGTGCACAGAGCATACGACAGGTAAGGTGTATCGTACCGGTCTGGGAGCTTTAAAAGTTGTCAGATGAAGGATGTACATGGAAGGCTTCTAAAAGTACTCCATGGACATCCTGCACAAAAGGTACGACTTTACACCTGCGTGTAGTATGGCCCTCAAGGAAACACTGGGAAAAATCATTACAAGGTAACCAATACTGCTGATTAACCTAAAAAAACAAAAAAAACGGTAAGCATTTTTATCTTGTGCAGTACAAATATATAGATATTACTTCGAAATTTAACTTGTGTTTATAACTATATCGCTATCGCTTTGAAAGCCTGACTTGCGTGTACAAATATAACTACGGCTGAAATCTAGACTTCGTGGATGTATTACTTCGAAATTTAACTTGTGTTTATAATAATATCGCTAACGCTTTGAAAGCCTAACTTGCGTGTACAAATACAGCTACTGCTGAAATCCAGACTTCGTGGATGTATTACTTCGAAATCTAACTTGTGTTTATAATAATATCGCTAACGCTTTGAAAGCCTAACTTGCGTGTACAAATACAGCTACGGCTGAAATCCAGACTTCGTGGATGTATTACTTCGAAATCTAACTTGTGTTTATAATAATATCGCTAACGCTTTGAAAGCCTAACTTGCGTGTACAAATACAGCTTCGGCTGAAATCCAGACTTCGTGGATGTATTACTTCGAAATTTAAATTGTGTTTATAACTATATCGCTATCGCTTTGAAAGCCTGACTTGCGTGTACAAATACAACTACGGCTGAAATCCAGACTTCGTGGATGTATTACTTCGAAATTTAAATTGTGTTTATAACTATAGCGCTAACGCTTTGAAAGCCTAACTTGCGTGTACAAATATAACTACGGCTGAAATCCAGACTTCGTGGATGTATTACTTCGAAATCTAACTTGTGTTTATAATTATATCGCTATCGCTTTTGAAAGCCTGACTTGCGTGTACCAAATTACAGCTACGCGAAATCCAGGACTTCGTGGATGTATTACTTCGAAAATCTAACTGTGTTTATAATAATATCGCTAACGCTTTGAAAGCCTAACTGTGCCGTGTACAAATATAGCTACGGCTGAAACCCAGACTTCGTGGCTGTATTACTTCGAAATCTAACTTGTGTTTATAATAATATCGCTAACGCTTTGAAAGCCTAACTTGCGTGTACAAATATAACTACGGCTGAAATCCAGACTTCGTGGATATATTACTTCGAAATTTAACTTGTGTTTATAACTATATCGCTATCGCTTTAAAAGCCTGACTTGCGTGTACAAATATAACTACGGCTGAAATCCAGACTTCGTGGACGTATTACTTCGAAATCTAACTTGTGTTTATAATAATATCGCTAACGCTTTGAAAGCCTGACTTGCGTGTACAAATATAACTACGGCTGAAATCCAGACTTCGTGGATGTATTACTTCGAAATCTAACTTGTGTTTATAATAATATCGCTAACGCTTTGAAAGCCTGACTTGCGTGTACAAATATAACTACGGCTGAAATCCAGACTTCGTGGATGTATTACTTCGAAATCTAACTTGTGTTTATAATAATATCGCTATCGCTTTGAAAGCCCGACTTGCGTGTACAAATATAGCTACGGCTGGAACCCAGACTTCGAAGCTGTATTACTTCGAAATCTAACTTGTGTTTATAATAATATCGCTATCGCTTTGAAAGCCCGACTTGCGTGTACAAATATAGCTACGGCTGGAACCCAGACTTCGTAGCTGTATTACTTCGAAATCTAACTTGTGTTTATAATAATATCGCTATCGCTTTGAAAGCCCGACTTGCGTGTACAAATATAGCTACGGCTGGAACCCAGACTTCGTAGCTGTATTACTTCGAAATCTAACTTGTGTTTATAATAATATCGCTATCGCTTTGAAAGCCCGACTTGCGTGTACAAATATAGCTACGGCTGAAACCCAGACTTCGTGGCTGTATTACTTCGAAATCTAACTTGTGTTTATAATAATATCGCTAACGCTTTGAAAGCCTAACTTGCGTGTACAAATATAACTACGGCTGAAATCCAGACTTTGTGGATGTATTACTTCGAAATCTAACTTGCGTATATAATAATATCGCTAACGCTTTGAAAGCCTAACTTGCGTGTACAAATATAACTACGGCTGAAATCCAGACTTCGTGGATATATTACTTCGAAATTTAACTTGTGTTTATAACTATATCGCTATCGCTTTGAAAGCCTGACTTGCGTGTACAAATATAACTACGGCTGAAATCCAGACTTCGTGGATGTATTACTTCGAAATCTAACTTGTGTTTATAATAATATCGCTATCGCTTTGAAAGCCTGACTTGCGTGTACAAATATAACTACGGCTGAAATCCAGACTTCGTGGATGTAT